AGGCCACCTTCTTATGCCACTTCACACTGCAGAAACCAAGGAGACAAAGAGGATGGAAGGACAAGCCCAGGATATTCTCCGTGGTCTTAATCAGGCAGGCTTTCTAGACACCTGCAGAACCCTTGAAACTGTCATCATGAATCACTTGTTAAGGACCATTAGCCATTGCCATGGCACCTCTCCAAACACACACCTGTACTAAAAGTAAGTGGCACAGTCACCAGACAAGGAGGAGGCCTACCTGTTTTATTTTATTTCGGGAGTTGGTGATGCGCTCTGTGATGCTCTGGTATGTGCGAATGGCTGTCGTCAGTTCTGTGTAGTGTTGCACAATTAGTTCATCCAGGTCACGGTCACATTTCTCATAGGCCTCTTCAAGGCGACCCTTCTCATTTTCTCTGTCTTCAACATCATCACTGGTAGACAAAGTCCTGGTAAAGACAGAATATATCAAGCTGAATATAATTTTTGCAGAAAGTAAACGTCTCTGTCAATATGCTAGCACATGCATTTTATCACCTAGAAAAATGAAGTAATGGAAAATATGACATCTCCTTCATGGTAAATTCCAACAGGCCATCTACTTGGGTTTAGGGCTTATCTATCCAAGGAGCCCTTTCCTTCACTTGTTTCCTTAGCCTTAGAATTTATTTTAATCAGATAGCAGGTGGGCATGAACTCTGTGAGAGGCCAGGCAGCTCTTGATACGTTGAGCCAATCAGACTTCCTAATGATTCCATTTCTCTTATCAGGGACAAGCTTGGTCAATACAGAATTCATAGAAATCATTTTCTTGGAAGAAGGATAACAGAAACCCTAGGTATTGTTATAAAAAGCTGAGATGCTCAAACACCAGCCACCTTACAACCATGGAGGAGAAAGCCAAGAGAAATGCCAAGTTACCACAATTATGTCACCGGGCCATGGAAGCAGCCAGGCCTGAAGCCACCTTACCTCAAGACTTCTTCTTAAGGGATATAATAAATATCCATTGTTTAAGTCACTTTCAGTTGATCTTCTTTTATATGCAGCTGAAAGGGTACTGATAAAATTACATTGAGGAACCACCTTCTAAAGAGTTCATTCCAATGACCTGAATTTCACAGAGCCCTCAGCAGCCTGGAAATAAGGTTATATTAATTCTAAAATGCTACAACAGCAACAGTCTAAGCTATACAACAAGAGTCCCTGCAGTTACTCTTCTTCAAACAGCATTAACAAGATTGATATGAATCAACAATAACCAGAGAATGCGATAGTTACACTTATTAAAAATATTTCAATAACTTAGTTTGATACATGGGCCACAGATCTTTATTTCCTCTATTATCTTTCTTGGATAATTTTTTTTAATTTAGTATTATAATCAGTGACAAAAAAAAAAAACACCTTTTCCTCTTATCTGTTGGCTGTGGTAATTTAGAGTTTCATTAAATTCCCTCAGATTTGTCAGCTTCTATATTCAGCCTGGTTTATTTCATTTATCTTTTTTAATTTAGGGAGGGGGATATTTTAGGCTCTCAATGATGGATGCAATCAATTATAAGTCCATCATTAGAACTGCTTTCAGAGATGGTATGTCAGCAAATCAATCACAAATCCACTTCTAGATACTTGCAAGCAAAATACTGTACAACAGTCTTCTCCAAACTGTCATTCAGAGGAAGGATCTTAATTCATGAGCCACACAATATATAAAACTTCCTTTTCAATTTAGAGAATTCAGGAGACCAGCCTTTGACTACAATCCAAACCTCCAAAATGAAGTCTGTAAATGTGTCAGGCATGCCAAGAGACCAAGGACTGCATGAAACCGGCAGTGAAAGAAATGCGATGAACAAAAAGGCAAAAGCCACAAAGGAGAGTGTGAGATACTCGGGAAATCAACATCCAGGGAACTATAAGTTGAATGAAGGCCTTTACCTTTATTATACCAAATTCTGTTTCCTCATCTATAAACTGGTGATTCTATACCACACTACATCCAAGGTTATTTTAGGGGTAGAGAATAACACACAAGTTTTGACTACTAAAGTAAATCAAAGTGGAAAATTCGGGGGAAACAGTTTCAGAGACAGAAAGAACTGCCAAGATTACTTGTAATATTTGGTTACAGAGTAGCTGAGCATGTCTTCCAGTTGTTTCTATGATACATAACTTTGCTCTTTAAATCTGAAACCTTCTAGGCTATTAATCTAAAGTGAAGCACAATCAGAAAATGCCTTCAATTTATCAACTGTTCCAAAGGTAAGAGTTCTTAGATTTTTAACTCTATCCTTTCCCCTTGGAACAGCAGACAGCCACAGATTTTTAAGCTATAATGCATAAGTCTACCATCTTGACAATGCTTTTCATAATTCTTTCTCTCCACTACTATTTGAAAGAAACATGCCAAACATTTCACATTGTTTACCTTAACCAGTTAGAATTACCATGAAGGAAAATGTCAGGCCCAAAGAGGACACCTTCTCTGGCGTCAGCTGTCACAGCAACATATTACTGCATCATTAGGAGTTATTTAGGAAATAGAACAGGGTACTAAAATGAAGATTAGAGAGTAAATTGGGTCCAGAGGGGATTTTTGCTGCTATTTTCATTTTTATAGAAAATATTTGTATTAGAAATATCCAGGTATGTTGTGCCAGGTATGCTCAACATTTGAAATTCAGAGTCTTGATATAAACTAGGAAGAATAACATTTTGTCTTTAGTCAAAAAAAAATTATGTTACAGAATCTGAGAGCATGAAAACACAAAAAGTTCTTTTTTAATTAGAGAAAAAGGCAGTAGGATAATAAAAATATTAATAGACTCTAATATTTAAACAGGCTCACTAGCTGCCAGGAAGCAGCTGTGTTGTGCATTTTATAGAATATATGTGGAATCCCTCTTGAGGGGGTCCTGTTATTACCTCCCCACCTCCCCCCTTACAGGGAAGCAGCTGAAATTTGAAGAGGTTAAATTAATTTACCCTACCTCACACAATGAGTATAAGGGTAGTACAGAGATTTAAAACCCAGGCTGGTCTGTTTGCAGATTATGTTCCAAACTGCCAGAGTCAAACTGCCTGGATAAGAATCCTGGCACTGCCACATTTATTTCCCATATGACTTCAATAATGGCATATCAATTTACTCATCCACAAAATGGAGACAATAAAGATACTTCCTTATAGGGTTATTAGTAAGAATTAAATTAGATGAAACTAAGCCTAGTATATAATTATCACTCAACAAATATTAGTTGTAGTTGTCAGCTATTATTTTTATAGTGAGACTAGTAGTAGCACGGATTGAGTATCCCTTTGTGGAGTTGAAATGCTTGGGATCAGAAGTTCTTTGGAGTTCATATTTTGTAATGTATGTATATGAATAACAAGATATCTTGGGAAGGGGATTCAGGTCTAAATATGAAATATGTGTTTTATATATACCTTATATTATATAGCCTAAAATTAAGATTATACATTAATAATTTTGTGTATGATCCATGGTGTGGAATATTCCATTTGTAGCATCATGTCAATGCTCAAAAAGTTTAGGATTTGGGAGTGCTTCAGATTTCAGATTTTCAAATTAGGTACACTCAACCTCTTAGAAGAAACAGCAAACACATCAGCATTTTTCCAGAATAAAATAGGAAGTACATCTCTAGAGACAAAGGTTCAAGTCCCACTACCCCAAATACTAGATCACTTAGCACTGGGTATGAGACTTCTCTGACTCCTACTTTTCCCTAATGTCAAGAATTATGAAGAGTCTGAGCCTTTATCCTATTTATAACCTAGCAAGTTTGCCTGCCAAAGTTCCATTGCTACTGACAGAAAATACAAACTTCCAGAGAAAACTTATCAGAGACTAAAGACTTTATTACTCACAGCATGGTAAGCAACATGAGAATCAGCAAATCTGTATCAGCTCCCCAAGGAGATTAGGCAGGCAGGACCACATGGATGCCTGCCCCACAAAGGGAGTTCTTGGAGAAGAATCCTGCAGAAAACTGAATCTTTTATAGTGGGCTGAAGACATGCCTACCCTTTATCTGGAGGGACAGGCTATTTCTGTCTTTCAAGGTTGTTTGTCAAACAAACATCCTTGACAAGATAATCTAAAACAAAGGGTGCTCAGTGCTTTGCTCACAAGAACTTCAGAAAAACAATGGATCCAAGGAGAACTGTCCTGAACAATAATGAAACCTAAGTCACCGAATTCCTTTAAGGATTGAATGACATCAAGGTAAGGATTAATTTCTTAGGTCTGTTTCCTTTTCTGCAAAATGAGACAATTTACAATGTCTCACACAGTAAACACATGGAAAATGAATGAATGATAGACCATAAACTCATGAAGCAGCAAGTTTCCAGAGAAAAAGCTCTCACTCATACCAGCAAAACCAGCAAATTTCAGTGTGGGTATCTTACTTTAAACTAGTCACTTAAACTGAACTGACAGTAGGGTAAAACAAATGTCTGCATTCTAGCTCATCCCACAAGCCAGGTTAGGAACCTCTCTTCATCTTCTAAGCCTTTGTGTGATGTGAAGCTCACTAGCTTACAAAGCAACTCATTGCAATTTTTAGGTCTATTTGTTATAAAGCCTTTTATCAAAATAAAATAAGCATCTTTAATATTCTACCCATTAATCCTAATTCTTTTTCAGCAACACAAAATAAGCCTATTCTCTCTTCCATAAAACATCCCCTCCAACATCTCCAACTGTTTCTTCCATACAGTTTCTTCCAAGTAGTCCAAAAACCTTGTTGCTATCCTCTGAAGTTCCCCCAAAATAGCTAACACTCTCATAGAACTTATTGTGGCCAGGCATTAATCTAAGTAATTTAAACATAATTCATATATTCTGGATAACAACTCTGTCAGGTAGGTACCATTATTATACCTCCTTTAAGAGATGATAGATGAGATTGAGTTGTTTGTTCAAGGCACAGAGCATTTAAGTAGCACAGTCAGACCTTGAACCTGGGCCACTGGCTGCACAGTCCAGCTCATAAGGGCTTTAACGATCCTGTTTTTCAAGATGTGTCCAGAACTGAACACAACTCCAAGAGCTTAGGGTATGAAATGTCCCCCAAAGACCCAGGTACTGAAGGATCTCTAGCCTGTGGCATTATTGGAAGGTAGGTAAACCTTTAGGAGCCAGGACCTAATGGAATAAAGTTAGGTCACTGGGGGCATGCTCTAGAAGGAGACATTGGGGCTAGAGCCCCTCCTCTCTTTCTTTTCACTGACTACCCTGAGGCAAACAAGCTTCCTCTTCAACATGCTACTGCCATAAAGCTTTGTATCACCATAGGCCCAACTCAGCAACATCAGGTAACCAAGAATTGAAGTCTCTAAAACCATGAGCCAACAGAAATCTTTCCTCCTTTTATATCGATTATTTTGTCACCGTGACTGAAAGCTGCCTGACTTAACA